TGATTATATGGTATTTTATTGATGTTGACAAAATCCGAGCATCTCAGCGTCGAAACGGCGAACTTTTGGAAAAAAATTTCGTTTTTCCTCAATAACTCCTACACCCTTGAAGATACGGGAAAATTGCATAGAACCTTTCTTGTAGAGGACGACGAGATCTACAATTTCCATGTAAATTTTTTTCGCTAGCGTCGATAGTTTACGAGTAATTTGCAAAAAACTGTTTTTTCGTTTTTCGTCAATACCTCGTAAACTATTAATGCTAGCGAAAAACTTTTATACAGAAATTGTAGATCTCGTCGTCCTCTACAAGAAAGGTTCTATGCAATTTTCCCGTATCTTCAAGGGTGTAGGAGTTATTGAGGAAAAACGAAATTTTTTGCCAAAAGTTCGCCGTTTCGACGCTGAGATGCTCGGATTTTGTCAACATCAATAAAATACCATATAATCATGTGTAACTCATTAGATATCGAAATTAGAAGAAAAATACATAGAATCTTTCTTGTAGAGGACATCAGTGCCTACAATTTCTGTATCATAAGTACATAAACTTTTCGGATTGACTGTATAGCCAATACATCCTTAAAGAAATTTACTACTTCGTTTCCGTTCCGTTCTGGATAAACCGTGATCGCATCACTGATTTATTTCTGTCGCCGTTTCAGGTATACTTTTGGACAGGATCACCGGCCCTACCCGCGAGCGAGGACGGTTTTCAACCGATGCCGAGCGTGACTCTACGACCATCGAGCGATCACCTACCAACCGCAAACACATGCGTTTCTCGACTATATGTTCCATTGTACAGCTCTCGTCACATATTGAGACATAAAGTACTACTTGCTATTAAGACAAAGAACTTCGGATTTGTATGAATACATAGATTCTATATATAAATATATATAATTATATACGTATACATAAGATATATATGATATTACGGATATTATATATACATTATGTATATTATATACATTATGTGACCATGTTTGTGCGCAATAGCCCCTAAACAGAAGTCACATTATTGATAATGATATAAGAAAAAAAAACGAAGTTGAATGTTGTTATTTTTTTCCTTCCTAGAAAAAGCGAGAAGAGAGGAAACATTTATAAAATTTGTAAGGTGTAATTACCAATTTTGATTTCTCTTTTTAACTAACACAGAAACCGTGGTTCTCGTCGTGATAAGATTTTATATCGAAGTATCGTCTTTAGTCTTTATAGTGGATCGAATAAAAACTATTCTGAAAAACCTGACGAAGAAAGAGGAAATTGATCGATTAACAGCGAACCCCATGTTACGATCGCCATCGATTAACTTTATCAAATTATCCTTTTTGTTATATATTACATCACAGCAGTGTGTACTTTATTCTGTTCTGTTAGGAAACTTAACAAATTATTGTACAATTAAAAATTTCTTTTATTAGGTATGTTTAAGATGTAACATAAAATATTGACAATTGTGAACTTCTCTTCGTTTTAATGCACACCAGCAATGACAATTGTTTACTTGCATCAGCACGTTGTCTCCGAGTTCTCTCTAATTGCAACACGATTTTTTTAAAAAGTCAGACTACGGACGCGAGGGTACGAGTTACAAAAACGACGAGACGCGATGCTCGGTCGAGGGTGACAAAATACAATGTAGTTTCACGTAAAAAAGCTGTTATCACGAATGAACGATGACAATTAAATATCAACGTAAAGTCATATGTGTAATCTGAAAATGGTACAAACGTTACTCCATCATTGAACTCATGATCGCCAATTCTTTTTTTTTCTTCCACTTTCTTCTCCGACTGAATTTATGATAGATGAAATCGGCCAAATGCGAAGGTAATAGGAAAAATGATCTAGGAATGTCTAGCTGCCTATTTCACGTTGTTATATACTTTCTTTTTTTTTTGTTAACATGTTCAAAATCTTGAATCTATCATAAAACAATATCAACTCTGTTATTTATGTCGCTTAGCCTTGGCATGCATTCGGTATATATCCTGCTTTTTTTCGTCTAGGATCGTAACAATACGTGGTTTCAAAATGATTATCATTTCGAAGGGAAAGGTTCAATTTACAAATTTAAATTATTTATCTATATATGTATACATATCTATACAACTAACTATATAGCTATATATACATATACGTTTCCTAAATGGTAAACTGAAATAGTAAAAAATAATCTATTATCTTTAATTTACTTAAAAAAAAAGATTGCTAACGCTAATATGTATAATATAATAAATCTCATTGTTTATAAATTTCTAAAAATCGTAAAGTTATATATATACAATAATTATATTATCCTTTATGGTACTCGACAAAGTATTAATTAGAGACTTATGTACAATGGTTACCTATTGACCACTTCCTGAATTGTTTTGGGATAATTTATTCGCCGACTGGCTCAATTGAGCCAACGTTTCCGGGGTCGCGTGCGCTTTCAGAATAGCGTTTTCTGCTTCCAGTTGATTTATACGGTCCATAAGCTCGGCTATCTTTTCTTTCAGTACTTCGACTTCCTCCCGTACAGCAAACATCAAATGGCTCTTAACAAGATCCTACGAAAAGGTCCCCCGTTAATTCCAACATCGTTACGCCCTATCGCCGGGCGAGACAATGATTACGTCCGATCTCCTGGATACAAGACGATGCTTACCATAGCTTGTTCAATCTTATTATCAATTGCTACGGCGCTAGTCCCGGACATACTGCAAAAAGAAAGACACGCGAGTGCTTAAAGAACTGTTATTAAGCAGGGGCTATTCTTTGAACGATTTAAACGATCGTATCTACCTTTCATTATCCTCGAGGGTATGATGTTCGTCGGTACCTTGAGTGACTTCCGTCAACGATTCCAAGAGTGTCGTGTCGGCCGATTGGGTGGTGGATCCAGCTACTATCCCTGAAATGGAGTCCTGCTCCGGGTCCGGTTGATGAAACGCTATGCTTCCCTGCTGCATACCACCGACGACGCTCTGGCAGCTAGCCGATACCTGGGCCATTTGCACTTGAGCATTGCTACCAGAAGCCGGTGGCTGCATCTGAGTAGACGGCGGTATCACTTGCGACTGCACCCCCGTCGCTCCGGGAGCATGAATACTCGACGAGGCTTGCTGCGCACCAGTCTGAGGAACTTTATGAATGTTTTGGATGCCCTGCATTCCCTGTATGGCAGTCAACGGTTCGGACATTTGCGTGATCGACTTTTGCGTTTGCAACGATTGCTGAGATTGCTGCTGCTGCTGTTGTTGTTGTAAGAGAGCCGGCGGCTGCTGCTGCTGCTGCTGCTGTTGTTGCTGTTGCGGTTGCGACTGAGTCGCGGGATGTTGCGGTTGCTGTTGTTGCGTGACGAGAATGGCAGGCGTCTGAGACGTCGGTACAGGTGTCTGCTGTACGGAAGGTTGACAAACATTTTGAACCGGTAATGATTGACTCTGCGCGTTCACGGTCACGTACGTATCTTCCTTCGAATGAGGTATGCTCTGTTGGGGTGTCACATTGCTGCTACCACTCTGCGTTATAATAGAAATAGAACTTTGGGGCAAACTTTGGGGTTGAGTCAGATTATTGGGATGGGTCGGTTGAAGATTGGAAGGCAACGACGCCTGTCCACCTTGCTGTGGTTGCTGCTGCTGCTGTTGTTGTTGCTGTTGTTGTTGTTGCTGCTGCTGCTGCTGTTGTTGTTGGGGTGCCAGTTGTTGGGTCGACGATTGAAAGTATTGAGGAATTTGAGAGGGTGTCTGAATTTTAGTCTGTGTTTGAACTTGCGTCGGATTATGCTGTGCATTGGGGGGGATTGAATTGCTTACTGTATAATTTGCACTCGAAGCTGGCGTAGGATTGTTCGACACACCGATCGACGAATGCACGTCCTGATGCGCGGGTACTTGTCCATTGGCATCGATGCTCATACCTTTGTCCTCTGACACGACCGATTGCTTGGGTGCATCGGGTATAACTATTCCACTGTCTGTTACCCCGTAAGATATGCATACCTCATTCGGATCGGACACTTTCGGCGTGCTGATCGCTGTTGGCTGATTGACCGACGTGTGATCCAAATAATCCATGCAAGTCCATCTGCCCCTCTTAAAAGGCTCTGTACTCTCAATCTTGACCACTTTGAATCTCTCGTTTCTGCCGTGCGAGTGTACCTCGCGTAGGTCAGCATCTTGCTTCGCGTTACTCGAAAGCAAATTAATGATATTGTTGTCTGTGACCGAAGTAATATCCAATGTATTGATATTGCTGTCGTTTACCGAGTTGCTAACGCTGTTACCCTCGGAAGGAACGATCGCCAGACCATACTGGGAGCTCGTGGGAATCACCGGAGCGGTGCTGAGGGCAGCGTTGCTGGTGTTAAAGAACACGTCCTCCTTGGAGAAGGTGTCCTCGGAGTAGCTAGGCGTTTCGATGTCCGTGATGCGCGAGTGTTCGACCGAGTTGTCTTCCGTATGGGATTCGTCGAGGTCGTCGTTCGAGTCCTCGCCGGCGTCATTGCTCATACGCGAGCCGACGGTGACGCTCGTTATCTGGAAGGACGATGTCTTTTTCCGACACTGATTACTCGAACTGGTCAGACTAACCGGCTGGTACAGTTTCTCGGGTTCCCCTAATCGAATCGTCTCGGTAGTCGTACGATGCACTGGATTCGATGCCTTTCTACTACCGTCCGACAACTTATGCGATTTTTTGTGTACATTATCTGCCATTATTATGGAAACTTAGCATTCGAGAGCTACGATCTTTGCATCCGTCGTTCCGTTGCATGTTAAAACCGACATCGTCGTTGGCTCGGCCTCGAACGATATCCTCCGGCCGTCGCGATCCCCACGGTTAACCTTCCGTAATCGAACCGATTCTCTTCCCCGTTCACAACGCGAACAACTCGGCTAATATTCATATTATCATCCTCGAGAAGTGTTGACAGTTCACCATTTCATCAATTTCACGGTGAACAAGTGCATCCGCTCGAGCACCGTCCACTAGAAACGAATATATCCACACTCCTCCTCGATTCCGAACACGGGGGGAACGGGCGATATATCTCTCCTCCTTTTCCCTTTTCCCTTCGCTCCGTCCTCTTCACGGATGATCGATTTCACGCTACATTCGATCCCACGCGTTTACATATTACCATCTCGCGATCCGATTTATCATTATTCATTATCCTTCCTAGTCCATTATACTAAGTAAGCAGTTTAAAAATGGCTGCCAATTCACCCACGGAATTGCCACGAATTATATCTAGAGCATCCTGTACCGTTACCGTTCTGTCGTTTCTCTCCTCGTGCAAATAAAAAGTCGTATGCACGCAGATCGTGCACGACTTCACGACCCACGCGACCGAACTTCTATTTTCGCATCACAGAAAATCCTTTTTCAAACGTTATCGTCTCTTCTCTCCCGTAAAGCCTTAACCGGGTAAATGCCAAATGAACGAAGCTTATTATACTTTTTCCACCGTTTTATAATTTCATCCGAGCGTCGCTTAATAAATTTATCTTCGTAGCCCAGCGGCAATTTCGTCTTACTTTATTTTATAATGTCGTTTAATCATGCAACTACCGCACAGTAGCGATGATACAAATCGAATTAAACGTACTGTGTACCGCTTCTGAGATGTGTTTAAACCGCATCCACGGCTCTGTCAACGTTTTATAATATTGCGTCGGAAGACAGAAGGATCATTGAACATTAGGCGTCAAGAAGAATTTTTGGTACTTGTCCAAATTATCTAATTTTTTACTTTACCTATCTGCGATTACTATATGAATTCCGATCTATAAACGAAGAACTCCATGGAGTGGAATGTATACATTTATTTGCTACGCGTAGATTCAAAAGTATCAACGATTTCATGATATTTGAGACATCCTCGATGTACTCGTAAAATTTACATTCACCCTTTTTCATATTTTAATTTCATGTAAAACACAGACAAAATAAAATATAATAGAGAGAGAGTCGTAACGTATTTTTACGTCTATATATCAGTGCTGTTCTCTGTGTTCGATCCGCTAATTATTTCTACCGAGTCGGATGATGTTGGAGTTCGACGACGTTGGGAAAGAACCGCGTGGTTGATGTAATTTTTTAAAGTGTGTCAAACGTTACAGTTGATCAGAATCGACTGGAGCTTTCATTTTATCTGGTAGCTGGCTATCAAAAACGAGTAAAGAGAAGAAACTAAAGTATATAGAATGGTTGATATAAAAAGCGAAGAAATCAACGGGGAAGTAGAAGCTCCGCCAAAGAGTGCGAAACAGCTGCAGAAGGAAGCGAAGAAGCAGGCGAAATTGGATAAATTTAAACAGAAACAAGAGAAGAAAGAGAGTGACAAGCCTTCGAAGGTGAAGGAAAAGAACGAGGTAGATATGATCTTAAAGTTCTTCGTTATTTCCTTGTTTTTAATTGCCAATTTTCTCTTTCATCCATATGGCCTTTATTTTAAATTCAGTTATGCAATTCGAATTCATAGCAGGGAACCTTTCAATTTAACCACTGGTACTCTTTTCTGTTTCCTTTAGAAAATCGAAAAGAAGAAGGAAAGCAAGGAGTCCGCTGTGTACACTGTCGATACACCTACAGGTGAAAAGAAAGATGTTACATGTCCGATGCCCGACGCATACAGTCCGAAATATGTTGAGGCTGCATGGTATTCCTGGTGGGAGAAGCAAGGCTTCTTTAAACCTGAATATGGTGTATGTAATCAAAAGGATTTTATCTCGATGAATCAGCCATCTCTTTGACGCTCACAGACTTGTGAATTGCAGAGAAAATCGATATCCGAGTCGAACCCCAAAGGTAAATTTGTTATGGTGATACCTCCACCCAATGTAACTGGCTTCCTTCATCTTGGACATGCTCTGACCAATGCTGTGGAAGATACAATTACAAGATGGTAAAAGTGATAGGCTTCTGTATAATATGAAGCTGTTAATAGTTTTGAATTCTTTTTATTTGAAAGGAATCGTATGAAAGGACGTACAACATTATGGAATCCTGGCTGTGATCACGCAGGCATTGCCACTCAAGTGGTGGTCGAAAAGAAGCTGTGGAAGGAGGAACAGAAAACGCGGCACGATATTGGAAGGGAGAAATTCATAGAGAAAGTTTGGAAGTGGAAAGAAGAGTAAGTGAAAGTAGCTTACATACGACTGGTCTATAATACGAGAAACGCGTGGATAATGATCATGTTTGTAGAAAAGGGAACAGAATTTATCTGCAATTAAAAAGATTGGGTGGTTCGTTCGATTGGGACCGAGCTTGTTTCACGATGGACCCGAAGTTGTGTCGCGCGGTGACGGAAGCTTTCATAAGATTGCACGACGACGGTGTGATCTATAGGAGTAACCGTTTGGTCAACTGGTCATGCACGCTGAAGAGTGCCATCTCCGATATTGAAGTAGATATCCTTTGTCGAAGATCGATTTTACGTGTTCGTTCTGTACACGATTCTTTTGCGTTGTCTTTTAGGTAGATAAACTGGAGTTAACCGGTCGAACGCTACTCTCGATCCCTGGCTATCAAGAGAAAATCGAGTTCGGCGTTTTAGTATTATTCTCATACGAAGTAATAGACTCTGAAGAGAAAATAATAGTGGCTACTACTCGCATCGAGACGATGCTCGGAGATACAGCTATCGCTGTCCATCCAAAAGACACCCGATACGCTCATCTAATTGGAAAATATGTCCAGCATCCATTCTGTAGTAGGAAGCTACCAATTCTAGCAGACGAGTTTGTCGAAATGGAATTTGGAACAGGTATTTTAACATAGAGAATGAAATACACGACTGCGCTGATCTCGATTTTTATAGGTGCTGTGAAGATCACGCCGGCTCATGATCCTAACGACTACGAAGTGGGAAAGAGACATAATCTTCCATTCATCACTATCTTCGATGATAATGGGAACATTATCGGAGATTACGGGCAGTTCACGGTTCGTTTTTATTCAATAAAAATTATGTGCTTTGCATGAACGATCAGAAGGTTCCATTTTTCTTTCCAGGGAATGAAAAGATTCCATGCTAGAACGGCAATAATAAAGGAGTTAACGGCAAGAAACTTGTTCATCGAAATTAAGGATAATCCCATGGTGGTGCCGATGTGTAGTAGATCCAAAGACGTCGTTGAACCGCTAATGAAACCTCAATGGTAATTCCTGGTTTATAATATCTGAAATTAGATTAATACTTTTACGATTAATATTGGCAGGTACGTAAGATGTAACGAGATGGCCGCGAAAGCGATGGACGCAGTGAAAACCGACGAGCTAAAAATTATCCCGAGTCAGTATAAGAAGATTTGGTACCATTGGATGGAAAACATAAGAGACTGGTGTATATCTCGGCAGTTGTGGTGGGGTCACCGTATTCCTGCGTACTGCGTTAAAACAGTGAACGCGATCGACAAACTTAAGGTAGTTTCAAACGATATTGTAGTATTATTGATGCATTTTAATGTTCGTATGTATAAACTCGTGTTATTTAGCCAGATGATGAATATTGGGTGAGTGCACATTCGGAGAACGAAGCCAAGGAAAAGGCTGCCAAACAATTGGAAACGACCATTGACAATATCATCGTTCAACAAGATCCTGACGTACTGGATACGTGGTTCTCCTCTGGATTGTTCCCATTCTCGATATTCGGATGGCCCGATAAGGTACGAGATCGAAAGAAAGTTTTGTCTCTGACGTATATTAAAAAACGCTAACATTTCAGACGGAAGAGCTGGAAGCGTTTTATCCTGGCACGTTGTTAGAAACCGGACACGACATTTTATTCTTCTGGGTGGCAAGGATGGTGTTCCTGGGTCAAAAATTATTGGGAAAGCTGCCCTTTAGGTGTGTGTACACATCTGACTCGTCGTTTAAATTGTATATTATAAAATGACTTTTTAGGCAAGTGTACCTGCACGCAATGGTGCGAGATGCTCACGGGAGAAAAATGAGCAAATCATTGGGGAACGTGATAGATCCTATGGACGTGATCAATGGAATATCGTTGGAGGTATACTCGAGCATTTCATGCAACTGCATCGCGGAAAACCCTATAATACCGATTTATCTGTCGTAGGAACTCCATAAACAATTAACGGATTCGAATTTGGATCCGAAAGAACTAAAACGCGCGATCGAGGGGCAGAAACGCGACTACCCGCAAGGAATTCCCGAGTGTGGAACCGATGCTTTAAGGTTTGCACTTTGCGCTTACACAATGCAGGGCCGCGATATTAATCTCGACATTCTCCGTGTACAAGGATATCGGTTTTTCTGCAACAAAATATGGAACGCTGCCAAATTCTCTCTTGCATATCTAGATTCTAATTTCGATTACGACGAAGAGGTTCCATCGGTAAAAATTAATCATTATTTATCGCGGTGGTTTCTCAAACGTGTTAAGAAACGTGGACTTCCGTTTTCCAGGGAAACAACAGTTTCGAGAACGATAGCGAGATGGGCGACGCCAATTGGTATCAGAATACATTGAAAGAAACTTGCGTTCAAGAAGCGTTGAACAGTTACTTGGCGGAATATTCGTATCTCGACGAATACGGTCCTTCGCAAATCGATTCAAAGGTCTATCGGACCTTCACCATATTGAATACCGATTTGACCAAGTACGTTCATTTGTATCGCTGGTACAAACACATCGCGTCTTTCAGCGAACAAGAACAATCGGCGTTTCGCATGGAGAAAGGTAGAATACTGCCTCTGTGCAAGGAACACGATCATATTAACACCGAAGTACAGTTGAACAGCGAGACAGATATGGACCGGTGGATGCTGTCTCGCGTAAGTTACGCAGTGAAGACGTGTGACGAAGCGATGACCCAGTACGATTTTCCGTCAGCCACTACTGCTTGTTACAATCTCTGGTTATACGATTTGTGCGACGTTTACTTGGAGTATCTGAAGCCAGTATTTCAAAGTAACGACGACGAGAGGAAGCGCGCAGCGAGAAGAACCTTGTTCAAGACGCTGGACGTGGGATTGAAATTGCTGAGTCCGTTCATGCCGTTCATAACGGAAGAACTGTATCAGCGTCTGCCTCGCAAGAAACAGATTTATCCCAGTATTTGTATCAGCCCGTACCCAGAAGTCGCAGATTGTCCCTGGCGGAACGAAGAAATCGAGAGAGACGTCGAGTTCGCCAATAAGGTGATAAAGAATATTCGGTCAGCACGAGCGACGTACAATTTACCGAACAAAGTAAAGACCGAAGCGTTCTTGGTGTGCGACGACAGCAACCTGAAGGAGAAACTGATGAAGTATCGATTGTTAATAGAAACTCTTGCTTATTCCATGTTAAAAACGAGCGAGCCGTCAGCGGGTTGCGCTATCGTTACTGTCACGGACAAAGTTCAAGCGCATCTAGTATTAAAGGTAAGGGTTGCTAGAATATGTCTCGTGTTAAGCTTGAGATTCTCTATTTTAATTATAAAATCGATGTGTCCAAGGGTTTGATCGATCCAAAGAGAGAGCTGGAGAAGCTTAGCAAGAAGGAGGAGCAATTGATAGACATAATACGTAAAACTAAACAGGCTATGGAAGTTCCTGATTACGATACCAAGGTACCTCTAGACGTACAAAACAGTAACAAAGAGAAGCTGGCGAACAGCGAGGGGGAATTACAACGAATCGTCGAGGCATTGTCAGCGTTACGAACAATGTAACGCTTAACTTAAAATTTTGTAGGTTCCATTTCTTTATTACTTCATTATTTATTAAATTATGTCTCACCAAAAGTGACAGTCTTTTCACATGTATTCTATTATCATAGATCGGACAAAATCGCTCTTAAACAAATAAAATCCTTTTTTTTTTATAGATCGTCTAAAAAATCCTACTTAGAAAGTAGATAATTTTTCTGAAAAAGTGCATTGGGGGAAACGTGGATGATCGTAGTATATTGCGCGTATAAAAAATTGCATTTCTCGTATCCTCGTTTATTAGTAAGCGTTACCAATAAATGCAACAACTGCTCGATTTAACATATGTGAAAATTTAACAAGGAGAAAAACTAATCATATCAATTCATCGTATTTGTCCCAATTGATTATTTGTTGTTGAATACTGATCATAATCGATTACGATTTGTTAAGAGAATTCATAACAATAAGGAATTAAAGAAGCATCGCTCTCGGTTAAGTAGTCTCTAAGATTCTAGAATACAATTGCTATAATATTGGTATCGCGAATGCTTCGATAACTAAAATAATTTATACATTCAAAGTATTGAACTCATGATTTACGACGTCGATCAAAAACAAAACAAAACTCTTTACAGAAATATACAATTGAATACGGGGGGAAGCGATGACTTAGAAATTGTACAAAATTATAGTCAGGGAGGGCGGTAGACATTGACAGATTTCATCCTCTGCGGATTTTCGATATAAAAATGTATAAGGGCGTAGTTATCATATTTGTGCTACAGAGAAGTAATTGTATCCCCTTCGGCTAATGGCTACGATATTAGAATTCGTTCGATTCTATTATCTGTAATACTCTTAGTCGCAACTACGTGTTCCTGAAAGCGTATCAATGATACTTACGATTACTTGGTTAACAAAGAGAAAACGAAATAAAAGGAAAACGATATTAACATCGTATATACAATCATGATATGTGAGTAGTACATGATCGGAATTCTATTACTCATTCAAATTTCGTCCAATTGTTTTGCGACTTGATGGCAGGCGCGTTCAGCGTTGAGCTGAACGCGTTGTCCATATTGTTAATACTGCTTTCGGATGTGCTGCATACCGTGGAATTCTTCGCAGGCGAATCGCCGTTACTTATGCTAAATTTTTTAAAGTCCAAGCCGTACGCTTGTAACAAGTCCAGATCGCCGATGTTCTCGGTTGATTTCTGTTGGCTCTCGTTACTACTTTTGTGCAACGGTTGGAAATAAGGGTACAACGGATTGCTGAGGCCCTCGCCCATCTCGGGTATGTGCAACGACTGTGTCATTTGTTTGGAAGTCGCGAACTCCGACGACCTGGCGAGCAGCGGATCGAAATCGTCACTACTCGCCGTACTGTCTAATCTAATTAAATCTGGCACTTCGGGAGACTCCTGTGAAGAATGATAAAACACGATTGATAATTAAAACCGGAAAGAAACGCGGCTGTTCTAGGAAGCCAAGGCAATTGCGCTCTTTAACGAAACATAGATCGCAGAAGATAAACGTGTTTAACGTACAATGTTAAAAATGACTGTACAATGATCGTGGACAAGCGAATAATAGATCGACAAAATAAATAATGAATGACCATGTTTACCTTGAGGTATGCAGAACGAGATGCGGTACTATTGTATGCATGGGATGGAACGTGACAATTAACAGACAACGATGCATTTGCAACTTGTAACATCGGTCCTTTCAAATAGGAAGGCGTGAACACTTTGCTGGTGTCGAAGGGATCGTTCTCGTTCAGGGATTCAGAGTCGTAATTCGAAAAGATACTCTCGGTGTAAAAGATCGAGGTATTCGTGCAACTATCCGAATCGTTTCTACGCTGTTTCGTCCCTGTCCTCTCGACGTACAACGAATCGTTGCATTTCGTGAATTCTTTCGCGCGAGTTTCTTGGAAATAATTGCTAGACTGTGCGTTCAGCGGTAAAAACGAAGCTTTATTATCTTCTTTGTTCCGACTAGTTCCTTCGATCGTTCTGCTCGATTTTGGAACCGTCGGATTAAACGGAAACGTTCGATCGTTCGAGTTGATCTGAGAATTGGACGTGTCGTTAACGTTTAACAGAGTATTATTCGCGTGATCGACCGAACCGATTGAGACGGTGGGACGCGGTGTGAAGGACTTAGGTTTCGAGGAATGGATCGTGGTCGGGTTCGCGACAACTGTACTAGGCGGAGGGCCGTGCCGCATATGCCCACTCCATGCAGGTCTCAAGCTGTCTAAACTGCGCACTGGTTTCAACTGAAAGTGATGCATGAAACATTCTTATATTCGTTGAATGAAAAAAAGTAAGATACTTAAAACGACTCTCCCTATGCGAAATACATAATATTCCATCTATTATTTTGCATGCACCAGAGGTTTATAGATCTTCGCTCCTGCTATACGAGAACTTTCATATTTTCTTTAATATGGAACAAATATTCGTATGAAATACCTAAAAAAAATGATGCATGCACAATATGCGTATGGTCGACGTACCTACGTTTGTCATAAACTGTCGTCATGCCAATGATACTGTTGCATGGTACACATACAATAAGCAACGCTTAACGATACATTTAAATAATGAAAAGATGTATACAATGCACGATTCGCGACGGTGTCGTATGAATTAAAACTTGTGCCAGCTGAGCTAATTCGAAACTAGATGTATTCCTGTGTAATTAAACGAGGCTCGAAGTTATACTCACAGTTCTATCAACGGGAGGCGTGTTCGGAAATATAACGTGACGAAGTTCTTGCATGAGGTCGATGCTCACTCTCTCCGGCGGGGTATCGGATTCTTCGGGTGAACTAGGGCTCAGCGGTGAATATTGTTTCCTACTGCAATTTCGGGCGGAACGAAGTGACAGTAAAAAAAAAAAGACGACATCGTTTTATAATGGAAGGGATGGAACGTTAGAACTGTACCTCGTATCAGAGAAATTGTTATTACGTATTCGAAGATCTTTCCTATAACTAGTTGAAGCAGTGAAGCCGTTGGGCGATTTAGATGAAGAAGTGAAATCGATAGGCCTTCTCTCTAACGTAGGCGAACTTGGCGCAGATCTCGGGTGATGGAATCTCACGTTCGTATCGCTTCTACTCGATCGACCTAGACATAGACGAAAAGTTTAGCAAAAGCATCGAACTCCACGAAAGGGACCGAAATATTCTAGTATACCTTTCCACTTTAATCCTTTGTACGCCGTCTTCATGTCCTTCCCCTTGTCTTTTACCTGAAATTAGAATTTTTATTGCTGCAAAAATCGAGTTTGAACTTAACATTTTTATAGAACACGTTCATTATTAATATAAAACGTTAAGATTGTTATTTTACAACTCCCTCCATAATTTTCGTTAAATGTAGGATCGAAAAGAATGAAAAAGAAAAATCTGATTAGTACAATTAATAATGTTAGAGACAACGTGAAGAGAGATTAATTTACTATAATTTGCGCGTTGAACTTACAGATTTAACCGCGTACTTTACAGCTGGGTTGGCCTGGAATCGAAGGCAGTGAAAAACACAAAATACGATTTGATTTCAAACATTTCAATTCAGACGTCAAGTTTCTCGATGTTTTTGAGAAAGGAATTTATCGGATTATTATACCTTGTCTTTGACGCTGCGAAAAAATGCTGAGCTCTCCTTTCTCATGGCGTAGGTCCATTCCCGATATTGCTGCATAAATTTGCTGCCAGACTTGGCAGAATAACTGCAGGCTTCCATTTCGAATTCGTCGGAGAACCCAAGCCCTGAATTGAGCATGTTCAGTCTTTCGTCTATAAACTGGAAGTTATTGTTATTCGTATTTTCATATCTATCGGAAATACATAATTATAATAGAAGGATGAAAAAGTTGTTAAACGTACTTGTCGAAATATCTGCAACTCCAACATTTTCCGTAGGAAAGGTTGCATCGAGGGTGGTCTGCTCTCGACGAACGCATTCTGATTAAAGGTAATACTCTGTCCTTGCTCCAACGTCAATGCGTCTCTATAACCAGCTATTAATTGTACGAGCGCTCGTAAAAAGGCCCTTGACACACCGTCACCGAGCAACGCCGATCTGTTACGCAACGCCTTTTTCAAGTTTACCACCTGGGACAAGGAAACTCTTTATTTTATTATTTAAGATTTGTTTCGATTCTTAGGAATAACTTCGTTATTCCACGAATTAATGCGTTAATCTTTATACGAACTACGTCCTGCGGTAACGATTCCAAATCCTGAAACGGCGATTCTATGGTATTGATATCGGCGTCCAATATAACTACCTCCCCCAAATCACTTTTTCGTTCTCTCTAGGGAACAGAGCAAAACGTATTAAGAGAAATAGATTGCTCGTGTATCGATCAATACGCACTATACACGAAAATACCTGAAGCGTCGAAGTGGGCACTCCAATTAAAAACGGCATCGGCGCCGATAAATACTCCTTTAGAGATAACGGCAAAACTGGTATGTATATATGTTGCCAAATCATTGGATAAATTAAGGCATTGCACGCCTGAACGCAAGCGCTCAATCTCGACAGACGTTTCGAAGTGAAAATGATACGCCGTTCGTACAACATAGAAGCGAATATGATCATCATATTGTGCGCATCGACGGCACTGTAATACTCAGTCAAGTTTCTCTGAAGCAATACAATCGTTTCATTTATATGACGATTGAGTTCGAACGTCGATTCTTAATTACTTACATTCTCAGGTATACTCGGTAATTGAAATTGCTTCGGACTTTGGCAAATAAAATTCTGAAAATTGATAATTATGCAAAATAAGTGATACGTATGTACGATAAGTTAATTACTGCAAAATTAATTCGGTGACCCACCACTTTGGAATTTGGTACAGGAATAGAGATAGAACTACCAGGTATGGGAACTGAACTTTTGTACACGGTTTCAAGAAATTTCCACAGGTCTTCTCCAGTTCCATTGCTCATCAATGTTGCGATATTATTTAAAAGCCTGGTCACAGAGAACAAATATGTACTGTCTCAGATCTGAATTACCTTGTTTTATAAGACAACTCCTAAACATACTGACTTGTAAAATATTTCGTGCCACGGTAGAGCACTTAGAATTACTAAAGCTGTATCTGTCTTAGGATCATGTCTACAGAATCCAAATGTCCATTTTGAGTCTATACTGGTGAGCACAAATGAGAAATGCTGCACCGTCGAACTATAAAGAATATAAAAATGAAATGACATCATATTAAACGGTAGTCCTTAAAATCGTCGAAGCATACTTTTCAATTTCACATGGATAGGCAAATTCTGGAACAGATTTAAGTATTTCTTCATCCTGAAAGGAAGTCGGGTATTTCTGAAGTATCCAAGGTAGTCTCTCTCCTAAAGGTGCTGCTACTTCACAGAAACATTCAAAGAGATGTTGCACATTGTCCCTGAAATCGTGAATAACATTGATAACCGGTGTATGCAAGTGTCATAGTGTTGAACTCTGACAAAAGAATTGAGACACATGCTTGTGCAATGTGGCTAAGAACGAAGCTACTTTCACTTGTGCTACCTATGCATCACACAAAAGGAATGCCTCCATAGAAGTAGCAGAGGGAAACGAATTGAATTGAACATAGTGCGCGAGTAATACCAAGTAGAAACCATCGAAGAAGGCAGAATCTACTTACCTCAGTCTGGAACCCATGATAACAGTGAAAAAAAAATAAGTACTTCGTAGTCTCTTGACGTCTATACGTCATTGTACAATACTACATGACAATAACGCATTAGATTCACGTGAATTTTGATCTCATCGCGTGGCACATTATCACATCTCTCGCTGCTCTCGCAAACAAATCCTTTTTTCTTTTCTACAATTTTTTTTTCTCTGTTCGTCGGCCGCACTTCTAAACGTACACAAGTACCACCGAGTACCGCCCCACCAACTAGACAACTACTATTATCTTTGAAATCACGCCTACTAGATTAATATATACATATACAAATTTCAAGTCCATCAGAGCGCCGTGTGTCATAAAAAGAGCAGACTATAATATATGCGCGTTTTCTGTCTAATTTTATTTCAATCAAGTCCTCGTACATTTAATTCATTCCATGTTCAAATAGAAGCTATTCTATTTTGTCTAAAAGAATTATTTGAACATTCTTTATTTATTATACTTCTCGACAAATAGAAATATCGAAAGGACGCGTACCTCTCTACGTTAACGTTACTTCAAGGCGCAAGAATAAACGTGGCGCCGGTGCAACTTTATTACACTTGATCGCTTGATCGTAAACTGATTTTTTGTGAGGGTGATAATTACAGGCGTGTGAAACATGGCTCTTAACCTTACGGTAAAAGTTCATCCTGTCGTTCTTTTCCAAATAGTCGACGCTTATGAGCGTCGAAAAGCGGAATCCCATCGTGTCATCGGCACGCTGCTAGGTAATTGGTTAAAAGGATTCTACAGATCTTGCTACCGATGGCAATATTGTAAACGATTGCACCGAGCATTTGACAACACTTTTAGTTGACGAAAGACAATTGTCAATGTAATATGTACAGGTACCGCAGAGAAAGGAATGGTCGAAGTTACAAACTGTTTTTGTGTACCGCACAAAGAATCCGAAAGTCAAGTAGAAGCTGATTTAACCTACGGAATCGACCTGTACGAGTTGAATCACAGGGTCAATGGGCAAGAGAATATCGTAGGATGGTGGGCAACCGGGAACGAGGTAATTTACAAATAATAGTATACACGCTCGATTATATACTAGTGATAATTTTAACAGGTCACAACGCATTCCTCTGTCATTCACGAATATTACGTTCGTGAATGTAATAATCCTGTTCACTTAACTGTCGACACGACATTAGCAAATACTACTAGAATGGCCATTAAAGCCTATGTCTGCGTTCCATTAGGGGTGCCTAATGGAAAGCAAGGTTCTATGTTCACGCCAGTTAAAGTACAGGTATGTTTTACATAGTTTACTGTTCTAAGCTTGATACTTTATAACGAAAGGTTCATTGTTCATAGATTTCGTCATATGAACCAGAAGTTGTTGGACTACAATTATGTTCTAAGACTCAGTTAGCAGCACACGCTCAGATGATTGGTGCAAAAACAGCAGGGGGTATAGAACCGATGATGGATCTATCTCAAATAGCAGAAGCCAGTGCTAAGCTCTCTTTTATGTTAGAACAAGTTCTTGTATATGTTGACGACGTGCTGAGTGGCAAACAACCGCCAGACAATCAGGTATGTAATCACCGAACGCTATTTAAATTTTATTCTTCATTCATTTTATAACATCGATTCGTTTAGGTCGGTCGCGCACTTCTGGACATGGTGCATTCGGTACCAAAAATGTCAAGCGATCAATTCGATGATATGTTCAACAGTAACGTGAAAGATTTATTAATGGTCGTCGCGCTTTCGCAATTGATAAAGACGCAGCTTCAACTCAACGAGAAACTCACATTGCTCACGACCCTATAAATCTAATTGTGTAATATGATTTTTACGAATAAAACAAGATTTAAATTTCCAAGTATGCGTTTTCTTTATTCATCTCACCTCTACGTTAATACGAAAAATAATAAATATCAAATAAATACCATATATGTACAAATGTAAATTTAACAATTAGGATACGCTACTTCTGTAGCAAAGAAGGACACAAGTATCTTTGAATTAGGCGACGTCTCAGGCTTCGTAAACTGGCGAACTGTCTCTTTGATTGTCTATCAAATTTACCCAATCTGGAACTCTGTCCATTTTCAGATAATTCTCCTTCGTCAGACACCTTAATGGTAAATCTACACTCCCGAATATAGCACCGCCTAGCCACGCTGTATAATTCGGTTTGCTCGGAGCAGTATGAAACTTGAATGTATGAATCTTTAACTTATCCGCATAATAATTGCTTTTAACGAGAGTTAAGAGCTCGGATTTAAGACGACTCGCAAAGCCTTTTGTCATCGTTGTGCCACCAATTAAGAGTATATTTTCTGCTAAAACTTGTCTGGTATCTATTGGGCACTGCAAACGGTAGATACAGTTATTCCATAAGATGGAAGAAACAGTAGAGGACAGTCATGCTTGAAATATACCTTTATAATAGCATCTAGAATCATTGTAGGTATACTGAGATTATCGTTATCTCTCTCCCATAACATTTCGAACGCTTTCTCCCTGACTTCCCCAGGTACGTTGATACTCTTAACTCCAGGATATTTAACTGCTGGAGGAGGATCAGGGGCTTGTGCCGTGTCCAGTTTCACAGATCTTTCAAGTGAAGTGACAAAGCATGTTCGTACTTTTATCTCCTCCACAAGTTTCTCTGTGATATCTACGTTAGGATTCAGTTCCTTCAGAGACTTCATTAAATACCTGTTGTAAAGAAACGTGATCGTTTAAATCACTGTAAAATAAATGTTACATACGGTACAAAATAATTAACTCACTCGTGTACGACTTGGCCACCCAATGGGAGAACCTGCCATGCTTTCAGAATCTGTGCGCCTTCAAATATTGGAATCAGGGTCGCTTCCTTGTATCCAACGTCCAGTACTAAAGCTGAACTTACACCCAAGGTACTGATAGGTGCCAAGTGTGTAGATAGCAGCAATAAGGATCCAATCTCAAAGTGTCTAAACAATACTCTCACCAACGTTTCCTTGAATTCTATCGGAGCTAACAGAGATTCTAAAACGAGTATCCGAGAATCCTTTGGACTTATCACGACGTGTCTGTTTCCGAAAAATGCTGAATTACAATACGAAACTGAAATTGCAGCAAGCGAAACTATGAGATCCGCACCTGAGGAATAGGGCGTGAAGGAACTCGACGAGTAACTGATACAAATCGCTCGTGTCTTTGTAATCGTAGATTCTCCGAAGTACTTTAGTCTCTGGACATTTAATTTCCGTCCTTATTATACCGCGCGGAGTAGGCTCACCAGCCCAACCAAATCTGATTGAAAATTACCAATGAATGATACTAACGTTAGGAAATGTCATATGTAAATGTAGACATACGCACTTCGTGTATGCACTGCCGATGTCCAATATAACCATTTGTTTGCCCGGAAGAAATCGGACACCTTCGTAGCTGCGAAGCATTTTGACCAGTGATACATAAATGTGTCAAGTCCAATGGTCTGTTGTTCGTCTTGGCTGGATTTAATTGATTTCCACACGGACTTGTGGATTCCCACCTCCACCGTAACAGCCGTAACAGAGGTTAGAATCAATAGAAGTTTTCACAGACGGGATGTATACGTAAGGTATGTATGCAATAAGTTAAACGAAAATCGCTCCATCAAACCATGATATAAAAACATTTTTGTTTTGTGTTACTTTGGATCTTATATGTGTCTGTGCATTTGTTGTAATATATAACAAACCGCAAAATAAAAACAATTTTAACCTACGTCTGGATAAATAGTTACTG